GCATGAGACCACTTCGCGCAGACAATCTGCGTGGACTTCGCCTTGCCCGGCTCCACAGGGAACAGCGCGTCCATGGCCGGCAGCGCGATCTCCTGCACCATGGCGGTCTTCCCGCTGCCGTCCTGGCCGAGGAGCAGGAACTGGAACGTCTTCCGCTTCGCGTGCTTGGCCATGCTGCCGTCCTCGATCTTCCGCTCCTCGCCCCGCGCCACGTTGCAGGCGTTCGCGAACGCCGTGACGAACAGTGCCTGGTCGGGCTTCAGAGGACGGCGCTCCTGGTGCCCCGTCCTCGGGTTGACCGCGCCGTCCTCGAACTTTTTGACGAGGCGCTTGACGAAGTCGCTGGGCCGCTGCAACTCCTCCGACGGCACCCACCGCGCCTGCGCCTCCTCGACCGGCATCGCGCCAGCGCCCGCTGCCCCTCCGTCGTCCGGAGCGGGGGCGTCGTCCACGGGCACCTCCGCGTCCTTCGTGCCTCCCTTTGCGAATCTCTTCCGCTGGATCTCCACCAGGTCCTTCAGCTCGTCTGCGTCGAGGTCGCGCAGGGCCCTGAACGGGGCGAGGACGTCATCCCTCAGGGCGTGGGCAGCGCGCCGCGGCGCGTCGGCGTCAGTCGGCCCGGGCAGCGCGCCGTTCTCCATCATGGTGGCGGCCTTCTTGAGCTCCTTCACGAAGGCCTGCGTGCGCTCGGCGGCGTCGAAGCGCAAGATCTGCCCGAGCGTCTCGGGGTCGAAGTGGTGCTCCAGGACCGCGTTGGCACCCAGCTTCGCGAAGCCATCCTGAGCGCGGATGCCCGGGGCCTCCACCTGCGCGGCGCCCGCCCCCGAGTCCTCGGCGCCCTTCCGGAACACGGGGGCCTCGGGGACCTGCGCGTCGTCCTTCTGCGGCCTCTTCGGCTTCGAAGCCGTCGCCTTGGAAATGCCGTCGAAGTTGGCCGCGGTCTTCGTGGTCTCCAGGGCCAGGTACTCCTGCACGGTCAGCATGCTGTCCAGCCAGTTGCCCAGCTCCGTGCACTGGGCGCACTGGCACGGAGGCTGCACCTCCTCGCGGCGGTCGCTGCGCTTCTCGCGCAGCGCGGACTCGACCTCCTCCGTGTTCCAGATGCTGGGGGTCGCCCACGACCCGACGTCATTCCTGAGGCACTTCGCCCTGGTCGTCTTCGCCAATTGCTCCTGGGCGACGGCGAACGACTCCCAGCCGCGCTGGAACGGGCCCGAGACGCCCTTTCCCGCCGGCTGAGCCGGCCACTCCGGCTCGCCCACCGGCGCCGCGCACAGGTGCTCGTACGCGCGGAGGTAGCGCAGCTCCTTCGTGTCGTTGGGCCCGTCGGCGTCCGGCAGGTGCACTGGTCGGAGCAGCGCCGACTTCATGAGGTAGTGCGTCTCCACGTTCGACTCCGCGCTCACGAACTGGAAGCCGTCTGGCTTCGGAATGCGCGGCTCGACGGCCAGCCTCTGAGTCCAGTTCCGCGCCGCCGAGTAGGCCGAGTCGAAGGGGATGTCGACGTGCAGGGTGCGACCCCCGCTGCCCTCGGGCTCCAGCTCCCCGGCCGGGAGGGCATGCAGCGGCAGTTCCACGCGGTACACCCAGATGCTGTAGACGTACAAGCTCATGTCTCGGACAATAGGGTGGTCACCGCGGTGCATCCAGTCGTCGCGCTGGCTCAGCACGGCGCCCATGAGCTTGCCCTGCGCGAGGCCCTGGACAGTCGGCCCCGGTGCCTCGGTCACCTCTTCTTCGGCCTCGCCTTCCCGCATCTTTTGCAACGCCTTCGTCGCGTTGCGCAGCGAGCCGCCGCTGGCGTTCGTGATCTGGTGCGCGTACTCGATCGTGTCGAACTCCTCGCCGTCGGGGCTGACGTACAACGTCTCCCCCTCGCGCTGCACCTCGCTCCACCCCGGCATCGCGACCTGCTCACCAGTGCCGGGAACCGCGTACGTGATCGAGGCGACGGGCGGGCTTTCCGCGGTGTCGGCCTGACCGTATCGTCTGCGCCAGGACTCCGCGGCGAGGTAGATGGATTTCCGCATGAACGCCTTCCAGAAACGGTGCGTCATGAAGGAAAGGTGCCCGAAGAGCATTGGGAATACCATCTCGCTGCCGCCTTTCCAGGAAGCCCTGCGGAAGCAGGTCTCGAAGCGGGACAGCACCTGCAGCGTGCGCTTGAAATCCTCCTTGCGCTTCCCTGCAGCGGTCGACTGGGGGTCGTCGCCGACGTCGCCCGCGGCCTGCGCCTGCCGGTCGTCCCACTGGCTTTTGAGGCGGCGCACGCCGTCAAGGAGCTTGCAGAGCACGTTGTCCATGTTGGGGTTCACCTTCGTGATGTAAGAATTCACGTAGTAGCTCGTGTTGTGAGCATCCACGACAGTGGCGAGCGCGTGCCGTTGAAGCTCGCGTTCGAGGTCGGCGCGCGCAGCGTCGTCACCGTCCACGCTCGGACTGCCGCAGTTCGCGAGCTCCCTGAAGATCCCGTGCCAGTCGGTGATTACGACGAGGTCCCACTTCGCCTCGGACGTGGTGTTCAGGTGCTGGAACCATCCCCAGTCCTCCCGGGCGCCCACCGAGAAGTCGGGGTAGCGCTGAGGGTAGAGGCCATGGTTGTAACTCTGGCGGTCCTTTTCTCCCGCTCGCGGTTCCAGCTCCGACGCCTCCATCCACAGCCGCGGGGGCAGCGCCCGTCTCATGTCCTGCACGTCCACGTTGCACCGCGCCGAGACGAGCGCCGCGTACTTTGTGGTGGTCTCCCCGGGGTGGAGCTGAAAGGTGACGATGCGCCCAGCCATGCCGTAGTCCGTCTCCCCGAATATGCCGATGCAGCCACGCAGCGCCTTTCCGCGCGTGCGGAGCCGGCACTCCTGGGAATCCCCATCCTCGGGCCACGTGCACAATGTCACCAGGTTGTAGTAGTTGTGGCGGCAGATCTGCGAGCCGCGCGCCTTGTCGGAATGGTACTTATAGCAGGAGGGGCTGCAGACGTGGATGCCGCAACCGATGACGAGCTCGCGCGTGTCGCGGCGCATCTCGCGAATCCACTCGTCGCTCGGGAGAGACTGCTCCAGGGTGCACCCGCTGCGGTACTTCGGGAAGATGCCGGAGGCGCTGCTGGAGAGCGGCCGCTGCCAGTGCCTCTTGCTCTCCGCGGCCTGCTGCTCTGTCCACGTCGCTTCGTCGTCCACGGTCTCGCCGGCCTTGTTGCGCAGCGGCAGATTGGGGCGAAGCGCCTCGTGGTAGACGTCCTCGCCTTGCTCTTCGGTCGCTTTGGGGTCGAAGATATACAATGGCTGCGGCTCCTTGTCGCCTGCGGCACCGAGCTGCTCAGCCGTCGCCACTTCCGTGCCCCCGTTGGCTCTGAAGTACCGCTTCTCGTTGACTCCGAACGGAAGCGGCGGCACCTGGACCCCGCACTTGTCCTCGCCCCCCTGGAGCTGCCGGGGCTGCAGCTCCGCGGCGCTCTGCCCAGTGGCGACGACGGCCCGCACCACCTGCCGCATCCACAGGTTCAGGCGCCCCCGGAAGCGCGCCTGGTGTCCCTGCAGCATGTCCAGGAACACATGCAGCTGGCCCTGCAGCAGCCAGATGAGAATGTGCGGGTGCAGCGAGCCGCGGCCCTGGGCCTCGACTGGCCCGAAGGCCGCCGCGAGAAGGCCGAACACTGTGGGCGCGCCCATGAGATCGGCAGCGACGCCGTCGGAAACCCAATGCTTCAAAGCCTTCCGCACTTCTCCTCGCCGCCACCCGATGGTCTCTGGGCGCAGGCCAAGGACGTGGGCGAAGAACAGCCTCATCATCAGCTCGAATACCACGGCCTGGCCCGCGGGGTCCTTCGCGATACGCTGCGACATCTCGCTGAACGTGAATCTCTCCGCCTCGTTCAGGTCGTTGTCGAAGGTGTACTCCTCCCCCTGCACGACGAGGATCAGGGGCTGCTTGGTGTCGGCCAGGTTCGGGGTGACGAACTGGACGGGCGGGCCGAAGCGCAGGGTATACGCCTCGCCCTCTCCGCGCAGCTCCCGCCTGTGTCCGTCGGACCCGACAAGACTTGCAGTGGCCTGGCCCAGGGTGGCGAAGGCCTTGCGCACCTCGCTGTGGGTGTCCTTGTCCTTGAGGATGCCGTTCAGCGTGGCTTTCCCGGTCGTCTGCTGCGCCCTGAGCTGCACCTCCCCGATCATCTCTGGCGCGATGTCCGCGCATGCGCGAGCGGCCCCGAACGCCCCGGGCTGCTTCATGAAGGTGTAGGTGCTGTTGGTCGTCTCCGTGACTCTATAGAAGGAGTGAAGCAGGTGCACGTCGTACCAGGAGCTCCGGAAACGATTGATGGGTTCGGCCTTGTACCTCTCCTCGTCGCCGGGCACGTCGTACTCCATCTCCTCCCGCGTGAGAAGATTTTTGATGAAGTGCGTCACGCTGAAACAGAGCCGGCTTTCCTTATCGCCGAGGCCCCAAGCGCAGTCCCCGTAGCAGAAGTCCGTGGGCCTGGCAATAGCCCAGTACTTCGGGTCCCACCAGGTCTCCGCCTTCTTCGAAGTGGGCACCACAAGCCTCGCCTTTCGCTGGCCGTCTGGGCCGGGCGGTTCCTGCAAGGAGCGCGGGTCGTCCTCGGCGGGAGTCCCCGCGACTCCCGGAGGTCGCGCCAGGTCGCCTGCGTCCCCCCCCGCCTGGCAGGTGTTCGTCGCCAGCGCCTGGACACGCCAGCGCAGCTTCGCCATGTCCTCCCCCGGGGACATCTTCCGACAGCGCGCGTGGAACTCCTTGCAGAGATCCTGCAGGCGGTGACGTCCGATCTCGTCCAGCTGCATCGCCCTGTCCTCGCCTCTCTGGTCCTCGAGCCTGGACATCAGCTCGTTGGCAACCACGCGCCCCGCCTGGCTCTCCATCCTCTCGAGCATGCCCTGGAGCGCCGGCAGGGACGTGAGCTCGCTGACGTCGTCCATGTGGTCCTCAAGGACAGACAGCCACTTGGTCAGCTCCTGCGCGTCCTCGGCGGCCGCGCCCATCTCGGCCTACGCGCCAGTGGTGGCCGAGGCGGGCCCCTGTGCCTGCGCGACGTCGTCCAGCGCCGCGTCCGTGGGGACGTACTTGGCGCAGGCCAGCATGCAATCGGGCACGCCCGGCTGCGGGGGAAACTGGTCCACGAGGTCCGATCGGTACTGCGCGCCCGGGTCATTGTACACGTAGTTGTGCTGCTTCAACAACCGCGCCTGGGCGTCGTACTCCGCCTTGTCGACGTGCAACGCCACCTCCTCCCTCATGGCTCTCAGGGCCCTCTCTTGCTTCTGCTCCTCAGTCAGGGGGATGCCCTCGTCGTCGTCGTCCGCGCCCGCGAAGACGGCCACGAACGTCTCCCTGAGCATGTCGGGCTCCGGTGGGAAGCTCCGCATCGCGTGGTCCACGTTCCCGTTCCCGAACACCATGGCGGTGCCCTGCATGGCGTACTGCAAGAACTTCTGCCTCCATGACTGCTGCTCCTGCCGGACGGCCTTGTCGGCGCCCTTGCTGGACAGGTAGATCTTCGTGGACGCGACGCGGCCCAGCGCGAGCAGCATCTGGTGCGCGAGAGCGGCCTTCCTCAGCAGGGGGTGGTGGCGGCCCAGCCAGAGGTCGTTCACCAGTGCCATGAGCGGCACCTGGGGATGATCGGACCACAGGTCCTTCCGGCAGTCGTCGCACACTTTCACTGGCTCCTTCCCTTCGAGCGCCTCTGGCGGCACGCGCCTCTTGTGCAAGAGTATCTTCGCGGACGTCGGCGAGCCCTCGCTGTCTTCGTGCGGGAAGTCCACGGCCGACGACATCAGCTCCTCGCGCGGTATGAAGGGCCATCGTTGGTGGTACCATTCGGCCGACAGGCATTCCGCGAACTTGGCCTGGTTCTTTATGGTGCACTTGTCGCCGACGAGGAACTCCGAGTGGAGGTTCTCGGACCACAGCTGCATGGCGCAGCAGACGCAGGCCTGGAAAGCGCGGGGCTCCCTCGCCTGACACGCCGCCTGAGCGCGGGCTGCCGACTCCGCCGCTCTGGCCGCCTGCAGGGGCGCATCCACCGCGGGGGCCCCCTGCCCGATCTCGCCGACGATCCTTTCGATGATCGCCGCGTGGAGCAGCTGCTTCTGCACTTCCGACTCAAGCTTCGGGACGAACGGCTCGTCCACGGGGTCGACGGTGGCGCAGCACTGGGAGATGTGGAACCTGCGAACCACCTGCAGCGGGGGCGGGAAAACTGCCGCTGGACCCCCAGGGCCTCCGCTGCCATACATGCCCGGAAAAAACACAAAACCCGAATTGCCAGCGCTGGCAGTGATAGCGCGAAGAGAATATCCGGGGGGGGTCAGGCGCAGTTCTCCCGCCCGCCCGCTCGCCTGGCGCTCCTCGGTCGGCGACGGCTGGTAGGGCTCCAGCTCGCACCGCGCCACGTACTGCGACTGGTACCACCGCTGCCCCCCGTGGACTCTGCCCCGGCGCGCCATGAACGCCTCCCTGTTGGGGAACTCGGCCTCGCACATGCGGCAGGCATACTGCAGCGCAGGCGCGGGGCACTGAAACCACTCAGAGCGATCCCGAAGGCGCGCAGGCATGGCCGAGTGCCGTGGCGGCCCGCGGTTGCAGGGTCTGCGCTGCCACGCCTCCGCCAGGTGCGCCCTCAGAGGATTGCCGTCGCCCTGCGCGCCCGGCCCGTCACCCGCCGCCATGCGGACCGCGGCCGCCACGGAGTGTACGCCGCGGGCGGAGTTCAGGCGCTCGTCCAGGAGCTCCGCGACGTGGTGCATGTGCCACTCCCCGCACTCCAATCGGCGTTTGGCGTCGGAAATGTCCTCCTCCGTGACCCCGAGCGCCTCCCGCAGCCTGCCTGCCAACTTGTTTGGCCGGTCGGGGGCGCGCAGGAACGTCGCCCATCGGTTGGCGCAATCGTCGCCGGCGTAGACGAAGAAGTCAGGGTAATGCTTCAGCAGGTCATCGGCAGCGGCCAGCGGCTCCAGCAAGTGCAAGACCAAGAAGAGGTCGCCGCACTCCCGGCGCGCGTCGCAGGCCGCCTGCAAGCTCTTCGCCTCCCTGCTGCTGCGCAGGACCGGGGCGGCGGCGTTGTTCTGGGCGTCCTGCCTGGACCCGTCGGCGTTGTCGCCCTTGCTCTTCGGCTTTCGCCCCTGCCGGAGCACCTCCTCCGGCCTGCGCCCGCGCTTCTGGTCCTGCCTCTCCTGCTGCCTCCCAGGGCGGCTCTGCTGCCTCTCCTGCTGCCTCCCAGCGCGGCTCTGCTGCCTCTCCTGCTGCCTCCCAGCGCGGCTCTGCTGACTCTCCTGGTGCCTCCCAGCGCGGCTCTGCTGCCTCTCCTGGTGCCTCCCAGCGCGGCTCTGCTGCCTCCCAGCGCGGCTCTGCTGCCTCCCAGCCGCGCTCTGCTTCCCTCGGAGGCGGAGCCGCTTCTTGGCGGGGGCGCCGCACCTCGAAGACGCCGCGGGCCGCTTCCGCGCGCCCGACAAGCTGGCATCGCCGGCCCCGTCCTCCTCCTCCTCGTTCTCTCCATCGAGGCCACGGCTCTCCTCGCTGCCCGCGTCGACGTCGCCGTCGTCGCCCGCGCCCTCCGCGCCGTCGACGACCGCCGCTGGCGGCCAGGGGCACGCCGCGGCCCGGGCCGCCTGGGTGTCCACCCTCTCGAGGAGGATCAAGCGGGGCATCTTATGCTCGGTACCGGGCGCCCACTGGACCACGTGCGGCCGGTCGCCCAGATCGTCCGCAGTGCACCAGCTCCCGCTCTCTTCGAAATGGGCCACATAATGGCCTTGGATGCCAGTCGCGGCGGGCTGCGCCACGGCAGCGCCCGCGGGCGGGATCCACTCCACGTAGGCGCGCATGCGGTATGCTACGTCACCTCCCGCCGTTTCCAACGCCACCTCCGGGCACTCGCCCCAATGGGGCACGATGTCGAGGGCGCTGAGGAGAAACGCCTCGTCGTCGTTTCGCACCCACCTGTCGGGCAGTTGGATGGCCAGCAGCTCCGGGGTCGACAGTAGCCGTCGCCCGCCCGAGGGGGCGCAGCGGCGGAGCATCTGTCGCATGTTGAGTCTCTGCGCGCCGTCGCCACGGCAGAACTCCTGCGGCGACACGGCGTCGTCGCCCTCGTCTGCCCCGTCCACGAAAGGCGGGGGCCGCATCAGGGCCCCCTGCTCACCGTCGGACTGGATGAAACTGAAGAGGCGTTGGAGACGCGGCGCGCCTTCCACTATGACCGAGAGCGCCTCGCCAGCGTCCCCGTACCTCTTCTCGCTCGCCACCCCGAAGATAACGCGGTGCTTCGCCAGGAACGCGCCCGCGAAGGCGTGCGGGGACCAGCGGTCCACGGGCAGGAACTCGCGAGCCTCGCCGCCACCGCCATCTGAGATCGCCGGCATCCCGCGTCTGCAGGCGGCCGCCAGGGAGAGCAGCTCCTCTGGAGACACATCAAATATACGCACTGCGCCCCCCCCGCATGCCCCCGAATTTCCTATCCTTCCACCCATCCGCCCCTCTTCGCCCCTCTCTCCCCCCTCCATCCCCCTTTTTCACCCCTCCTCCATCCCGCCCCATCATCCACCCTCTCCATCCCCCTCATCTCACGAACGAACCCACCTCAAACCGCTGTCCTGCACGACGAGCGGCTCGCTCTCGCCCTCGGCACCCAGGAGCTCGGCGCGCGCGGCGGGGCAGTGGAGCAGGCACTGCAGTGGCGCGTTGGTGTAGCACTTGTTGCACAGGTTGGAGAGGCTCGGGCACGGGTGCCGCCCGCCACGAGACCGCTGCAAGGCCGGCCGCCTCCACTGGGCCTTGTCGACAACGTCGTTTTCCCCGCACCACTCCTCATGCTGCGTCAGCAACATTTGCTCTGCACACGCAGCTCGATTGTCACGCTGCTTGGTTGCCTCCGACTCCGCCGCCAGCGCCTCGACGCGCATCGTCAGGCCCCGCGCAGCCAGCGTCAGCTTCGTGGATCCCTGTGCCCTGGCCCACCTTTGCGCCAGCTGATCTTCCCCCAAAGTTTTGCGAAGCGGCATCCGGCGGTGCTTCTCGACAAAAGCCAACGCGTCGCGGAACACCATGGCGGGTCGATCCTGTCCGCCTCCGACCGCCCTCGGAGTCGGCCCCCGGCTGCGCGCCGACCCTGGGGTCGTCCTACACTGCCTGCGCGTCGCCGAATGGCCTGGCGTCCGGAACGCCGCTCTCGCGGTCGATGCTGGGGTGCTGGCGCGCGCCCCTGGCCCGGGGGAGTGGCGCGGCGACTGCGGCGGCCGCTTTCCCCTCATCCTGCGCCGCACCGGCGCCGTCCGCTCGCGCTGCGGCGTCTGGGCCGCCTCCCCCGTGGACTGCATGGCCTCTTTTTTCAAGCGGACCAACTCCTCGCGCTGCTCCGTCACAGGCCGTGCCAAGATGCGAACCCTATCCGTCTCGGCCGCTTCCCGACCCTCGCGCGCGGGCCCGCGCACCGAGCTCCCGCTCTTCTCTCGCAGCCGGACTTCAAATATCCCCAGCCTCCTCTCCTCCAAGCGAATCCGATGCGGGGCCCCGCTGCCCGGCGGCATGCGCGCGGCTCCCGCCGAGCGCGCGCCCTGGGGCCGCGCGCGCCAGAGTCCCCACCGACTCGATCCGGTTGTCCCGCGCAGGGAGTCCCGTCAACGAGCAGCGGTTGCCCGTCGAGAACAGAGTCGGACTTGAGCCAATATGGTAACGGAGCGCTGGATCGGCAGCGTCGATGGAAGGAAAACAAAAACGACAGCCTGGAGGACAACACATGAAGACGTCAACTGCACAGCCTACGATGACGCCGAGGCTCGAACGTCAGATCCTCGAGGATCGAGATTCGAGGCTCTTCGTCGTCGTCTCTGTCGTCGTCGTCGTCATTCCTGGGGGCTGTCTTTGGACTCCAGGACTTCGATTTTGGGTTCCGTCGTCGTCGTCGTTATCGTCGTCGTCGTCGTCGTGGTCGTCGTCGTCGGCATCGTCGTCGTCACCGCCGTCGTGGTCGTCGGCATCGTAGTGGTCATCGTCGTCGTCGTCGTCGTCGTCGTCATCGTCGTCGTCCTCCTCCTCCTCCTCGTCCTCCTCCTCCTCCTCCTCCTAAGGGTTGTTCGGGCCTGTCGGTGTTCTCGTGGGGCCCCGGACCGAAAGAGAGGGAGGGAGCGAGGACGATGATGACGACGGCGGCGGCGAAGGCGACGGCGACGACGACGCTGACGACGACGACGACCAGGTTCTGCCCCAAGCGCGCCCAGAAGCTGGACAGGGAACCTTTTCAGGGTCCCTCTCCGAAAAAACAATGCGGGACAGGGAGCCTTTTCAGGTTCCCTCTCCCGCCGCCGGACAGGGAGCCTTTTCAGGGTCCCTCTCCGACACGGCACTGCTGGACAGGGAGCCTTTTCAGGTTCCCTCTCCCACCGCCGGACAGGGAGCCTTTTCAGGGTCCCTCTCCGACAAAGCACTGTGGGACAAAGAGCCTTTTCAGGTTCCCTCTCCCGCCGCCGGACACGGAGCCTTTTCAGGGCCCCTCTCCGGCAACGCACAGGCGGGAGAGGGAGCCTTTTCAGGGTCCCTCTCCCGCCGCCGGACTGGGAGCCTTTTCAGGTTCCCTGTTCGGCAACGCACGGGTGGGACAGGGAGCCTTTTCAGGTTCCCCCTCCCGCCTTTTCCGGAAACGCATAGGCGGGAGAAGGAGCCGTTTCAGGTTCCTTCTCCCACCGCCGGACAGGGAGCCTTTTCAGGTTCCCTCTCCGGCAACGCACAGGCGGGAGAGGGAGCCTTTTTCAGGGTCCCCTTCCCGCCGCCGGACAGGGAGCCTTTTCAGGTTCCCTGTCCGGCCATACAGAACTGGACACACAGGAAGCGCTCGCAGCAGGGAGGCCGCATGAGTGAAAGGCACCGTTGAACATCAGCTGCGTGATAGATGCGTGAATGAAAACCGAAACATGGCCACAAGAGCGTGGATCAAGAACGCGAGCCCCTCGCCGAAGGCCAAAGGATCCATGGAGATCCCAAAACGACGAACGTCCCAACGGCGAAGAACATCAGGTGGGCCCAGAGGAGCTTACGCGTTCCCACTGGCAGCGCGGTGGCATCAACAGCCTTTCCCCGTTTCAGAGAACCGCAGTTGTAAATACGACCTTCGGTGGAGCTTCCAAGGGGGCCACGAAACGTGTGGGGAGGGGTGCCGAAATCAATAAAGTCCCTGTCACGGGAGCAGGTCGTCGTCGTCGTCGTCGTCGTCGCTGTCGTCGTCGTCGACGTTGTCCTCGTCCTCGTCGTCGTCGTCGTCGTCGTCGTCGTCGGCGTCGGCGTCGGCGTCGTCGTCGTCGGTCCTCGTCGACGTGAGGGATAGAGGGAGGGAGGACGATGACGACGGCGGCGGCGACGGCGACGGCGACGACGACGCCGACGACCAGATTCTGCCGCAGACGCCGGGGCCATGTCTCCGTGCCTTTTCTGGGCCCCGGGGCCGTGCCTCCGTCCCTTTTTCGGGCCCCGGGGGTGTCAGAAACCGATTGAAACTTGAAACCAGAACGCCCCCCCAAAAAAATTAGGTTAGTGGCCCCTTACCCACAAACTCGCAGGGCGTTTTTTGTGGACGACTGACGATGGGTTACCACCGCCGGCCCGAACGCAAGCGTTTCCCCCTGCGCCCGATTCGGCTGACGATGGGTTACCACCGCCAGCCCGGAGACAAGGGGTTACCCCTGCCCCCGATTCGGCCGAGGATGGGTTACCACCCCCGGCCCGGACGCAAGGGTTCCCCCCTGCGCCCGATTCGGCTGACGATGGGTTACCACCGCCAGCCCGGAGACAAGGGGTTACCCCTGCCCCCGATTCGGCCGAGGATGGGTTACCACCCCCGGCCCGGACGCAAGGGTTCCCCCCTGCGCCCGATTCGGCTGACGATGGGTTACCACCGCCAGCCCGGAGACAAGGGGTTACCTCTGCCCCCGATTCGGCCGAGGATGGGTTACCACCCCCGGCCCGGACGCAAGGGTTCCCCCCGGCGCCCGATTCGGCTGACGATGGGTTACCACCGCCAGCCCGGAGACAAGGGGTTACCCTTGCCCCCGATTCGGCCGAGGATGGGTTACCACCCCCGGCACGGACGCAAGGGGCTACCCCTGCGCCCGATTCGGCCGCCCATGGGTTACCACCGGCGGTCCGGAGACAAGGGGTTACCCCTGCCCCCGCTTCGGCCGAGGATGGGTTACCACCCCCGGCCCGGACGCAAGGGTTTCCCCCTGCGCCCGGCCGCCGTCGTCCCTCGTGACTGCGCGGCCAGTCCCATATATGGAACCATCGCCATGGGAACACACTTGCTCTCTGCTACCCCGCCTGCCATGCTACATGCTATCTACTCATGCTGGCGTCCGGCGGGGCTCGGCGTTAAAACTGTTAAACGCTATTGGGGGCCATTGCAAGGTACATATAAACCAATATAGTTACTGGGCCGGCCACAGACAGAGAAAGAGAGATCACGAGAGAGACGGCGACGACAAAACGCGGTTATCTTCGCCAATGCGTGTCCTTGCATGCTGTCTGGGTCTTGTCGCGCCGGCGGGTGTCTTTGACAGAGCGGCAGGTGTCTCTGGCAGAGCGCCTTTAGGGACGAGCTCTCTTGGGGGCCATTGCAAGGTGAATATAAACTAATAGAGTTAATGGGCCGGCCACAGACAGAGAAAGAGAGATCACGACAGAGACGGCGACGACAAAGCGCGGTTATCTTCGCCAATGCGTGTCCTTGCACGCTGTCTGGGTCTTGTCGCGCCGGCGGGTGTCTTTGACAGAGCGGCAGGTGTCTCTGGCAGGTGTCTCTGGCAGAGCGCCTGGGGGCTCGGGGGGAGGGCTGGCCGCAGCTCCGAAGAATATGCTGGGACGCATGCGAACCCTGCCACTGGGGCCCCTTCGGTGGAGCTCCCTATGGGGCCACGAAACGTGTGAGGGGTGGGCCGAAATGGGCGAGGGGCGGCATGCCAACTCTGCCACTGGGGCCTTCGGTGGAGCTCATTATGGGGGCACGAAACGTGTCAAGGGTGTGTCGACATGGGTGGCGCGGACGCATGCGAACCCTGCCACTGGGGCCGTCGGTGGAACTCCCAATGGGGCCACGAAACGTGTGAGGGGTGTGCAAAAGTGGGTGGGGGCGGCATGCGAGCCCTGCCACGGGGACCTTCGGTAGAGCACCCTATGGGGCCACGCAATGCGTGAGGGGTGTGCCAAAGTGGGGTGGGGGCGGCATGCGAACCCTGCCACTGGGGCCGTCGGTGGAGCTCCCTGTGGGGCCACGAAACGTGTGAGGGGTGTGCCAAAGTGAGGGGGGGCGGCATGCGAACCCTGCCACTGGGGCCTTCGGTGGAGCTACCTATGGGGCCACGAAACGTGTGAGGGGTGTGCCAAAGTGGGTGGGGGCGGCATGCGAACCCTGCCACTGGGGCCTTCGGTGGAGCTACCTATGGGGCCACGAAATGCGTGAGGGGTGTGCCAAAGTGGGTGGGGGCGGCATGCGAACCCTGCCACTGGGGCCGTCGGTGGAGCTCCCTGTGGGGCCACGAAACGTGTGAGGGGTGTGCCAAAGTGAGGTGGGGGCGGCATGCGAACCCTGCCACTGGGGCCTTCGGTGGAGCTACCTATGGGGCCACGAAACGTGTGAGGGGTGTGCCAAAGTGGGGTGGGGGCGGCATGCGAACCCTGCCACTGGGGCCTTCGGTGGAGCTACCTATGGGGCCACGAAACGTGTGAGGGGTGTGCCAAAGTGGGGTGGGGGCGGCATGCGAACCCTGCCACTGGGGCCTTCGGTGGAGCTCCCTATGGGGCCACGAAACGTGTGAGGGGTGTGCGGAAATGGGAACTAATGGCGATGGCGATGATGATGATGATGACGATGATGATGCTGGTGGTGATGACGATGATGATGCTGGTGGTGATGATGACAGGATGGTTGGGAACTAATGGCGATGGCGATGATGATGACGATGATGATGCTGGTGGTGATGATGACGAGGATGATGATGATGATGATGATGATGATGATGATGATGATGATGATGATGATGATGATGATGATGATGATGATGACGATGAGGATGATGATGATGATGATGATGACGATGAGTATGATGACGGCGATGGGAGGAGGGAGGAGGGGGGAGAGGAGGAGGAGGAGAGGAGAGGAGAGGAGAGGAGACGCGGGGCGCTGTCTCTTCAAAACGATGACCCAACACCACAGGATGGTTGGGAAAAATTATCGCATCGTCGCGGAAGGCGCATTGCGAGGACATGGAGGACGCGGGTGTTCAGGTATTTTGTTTGGTCGGAGGCAGCACGCGCATCAATCAACAACTCACCTGCACGAACCACCATAAGGACAAACAAAACATGAAAATCACAGGGGGGGCGATTCGCCCCCTGACCCGTTTTTGAGACCCGCACCAGCTCAGACAGGGCAGTGGACTGGAGCGGTCATTCAGAGTGGAACTCAGCCTCGTTCCTGCTGCGCTGCGGAGCTGGCAGCATGGCCCGGATTGCCGCAGGCACCTGGGCAACACGTGATGAGGTGCCCGTCGGGTCCCGAGGTCTCCACTGATCACGGGCCTGGCGGGCTGGAGGCACGCAGCCCGCGCACGCAATGCGGCGGGCCGCCCTCAGGCGCAAAGCCACAAGCGGCCGCCCGAATGCGCAACCGGCGTTCGTTGCCCGGGTCGTCTGCGCTCGCGCTTCGGCTCGCCCGAGGGGCGCGTGCCTGCGCGCCCACGCGCCGCCCCCTGGAGAAGAACAGCTCTGCGGACCAGGCGGCGGAGCGCAGAACGTGGCCCCCGGCGGATTGCCCGGATGTTTGGGGGCGGGGCTCGCTGTTCCGGCGCTGCCTCTTTTGATTCAGCGGCACTGGGTCCCCGCGAGGGCGTCGAGACGGAAGGGAGAGGCATGCAACAACAAGTCTTGGGTTCACGCGGCACGCCAGCATGGGGGAAGCCAGACACGCAATCGCCATTCCGGCGGCCTCAAGGGACAACGGAGGGGGGTGTCCTCACTCGCCTCGGGTAGTCAGACTTTTACGTCACACACTTTCGCACCCCGCTCGCTCATTGGTAAGGGGTAATTCCACCTGATTGGGAGGCGCGGCTGTCTCCTGAGGGGGACTCCCACCTGTGAAATAGCAACTATCCCGGCAAAGCAACCTAACAGCGATGTGTATAAGCATAACTGGAAACATTCCCCTTGAGATCCACCTTGTCTCAGCTTCGGCCTGCCTCGGCCTCATCCTCAGCCTTAGCCACAGCCTCAGCCTCAGCCTGTCTCGGCCTCAGCCTGCCTCGGCCTCAGCCTCAGCCTGCCTCAGCCTCAGAGTCAGCCTGCCTCAGCCTCAGCCTGCCTCAGCATCAGCCTCATCCTCAGCCTCAGCCTGCCTCGGCTTGCCTCGGCCTCAGCCTCAGCCTGCCTCGGCCTCAGCCTCAGCCTCAGCCTGCCTCAGCCTGAGCCTGAGCCTGCCTCAGCCTCAGCCTGCATCAGCCTCAGCCTCGAGGCCTGCCTCAGCCGCAGCTTGCCTCAGCCTCAGCCACAGCCTCAGCCTCAGCCTGCCTCAGCTTCAGCCTCAGCCTCAGCCTGTCTCGGCCTCAACCTCAGCCTCAGCCTCAGCCTGCCTCGGCCTCAGCCTCAGCCTGCCTCAGCCTCAGCGTCAGCCTGTCAGCCTCAGCCTGCATCAACCTCAGCCTCAGCCTCAGCCTGCCTCGGCCTCAGCCTCAGCCTGCGTCAGCCTCAGCCTGCATCAGCCTCAGCCTCAGCCTGCCTCGGCCTCAGCCTGCGTCAGCCTCAGCCTCAGCCTCAGCCTGCCTCAGCCTCAGCCTGCCTCAGCCTCAGCCTCAGCCTGCCTCGGCCTCAGCCTGCCTCGGCCTGCCTCAGCCTCAGCCACAGCCACAGCCTCAGCCTGCCTCAGCTTCAGCCTCAGCCTGCCTCGCCTTGCCTCAGCCTCAGCCTCAGCCTCAGCCTGATTTGGCCTCAGCCTCAGCCTCAGCCTGCCTCAGCGTCAGCGTCAGCCTCTCAGCCTCAGCCTGCATCAGCCTCAGCCTCAGCCTCAGCCTCAGCCTCAGTCTCAGTCTGCCTCAGCCTCAGCCTCAGCCTCAGCCTGCCTCAGCCTCAGCCTCAGCCTGCCTCGGCCTCAGCCTGCGTCAGCCTCAGCCTCAGCCTGCCTCAGCCTCAGCCTGCCTCAGCCTCAGCCTCAGCCTGCCTCGGCGTGCCTCAGCCTCAGCCTGCCTCGGCCTCAGCCTGCCTCGGCCTCAGCCTTCTTCAGCTCGGGCATTCAAAATATGGCACAGGACTAGCGTTCTGGGAGCACGAAGAACACGAAGTGGCCTACAGCTGGCTCTGGGCATTCAAAATGTGGTCTGGGAATGGTGTTCTGGGAAGACGAACAACACGAAGTGGCCCATAGTTGGCTCCGGGCATTCAAAATGTGGCCTGGGACTGGTGTTCTGGGAACACGAAGAACACGAAGTGGCCTACAACTGTCTCTGGGCATTCAAAATGTGGCCTGGGAATGGTGTTCTGGGAAGACGAAGAACACGAAGTGGACTACAGTTAGCTCCGGGCGTTCAAAATGTGGCCTGGGACTGGTGTTCTGGGAACACGAAGAACACGAAGTGGCCTACAGTTGGCTCCGGGCATTCAAAATGTGGCCTGGGAATGGGGTTCTGGGAATGGATTCCTAAGGATTCCTAAGAATTCCCAAGGATTCCTGAAGATTCCTGGGGATGGCGGATCTGTCCGGTTCCCTGTCCGGTTCCCGCCCAGACCCCCCTGGGGCGTCAAGATGCTCTCTTTTGACACCACTAGAAACCTATCAGCACAAGCTGTTAGGTAAATACTCACCAGTATATGTACCCTCCTCCTCCCCCCTTATCATCATACTCGTCGTTGTATTAAAGTATATATGTCTTGTTATCCTGCCTGGAGGCTAGGCTAGGCGAGGTGTCGCAACTTTCTCCTCGGGAGGTCCAGGGCGACGAATTCTGCACTTCAAGATGGCACGTTGATGCGTGATAATGGACTGTAAAACTCGAGATGTGGTCGAAACTGGACATCGACTCTTGGATTGGCACGCGACCAAACCGGATACAACTAGAAATCTCCCTGAACCATTCTGTGTTCGCCCTTCCCTCACCTCTCTCACCCTTCCTCCACCATCTCCACCTACTCTCCCTCACACCCTCCTGTATACTATCCTTTATACTCCTCCCTGCGACCTCGTCCTCCAATCCCGCTCCTCCTCCTCCGCACCTATGCTGCCCATGTCTCGTCCGCCCTCTGCCCTCCTCCTCCCATACCCTTCCTGCTCCTCCAGCTCCTTCCGTCGTCCTCCTCCCCGCTTCCTCCTTCTCCGACTCCTCGTCCAAATCCTCCTTCGCCCCATCTCTCCCCTCCACTGCTTGTGCGCATCCGCCCCCACAACCACACCTGGGCCTCGATCGACACCCGGACGTCGCTCCTTGAGCTCGTACCTCTGCTTCTGCACGTTTGAGTCCGCGACGATCTGGCGGAACTTCTCCAGAGAGACGCCGTCGAAACAGTCCATCTGGCGAGGATGATGGAGAGGATGAGAGAGGAACGGGATAAAGATGATGAGAATCCCAACGCCCTTTTGTGCTCAAATTGATTTAGCGAATTACCTCTTCCAATTTCATTCTGCCCCCTCGAGGAGAGGCTTGCCGCTTCTACCCCACGCCGGAAGACTTCCCCCTCGCCCAGCCACACCAAGAGGGTGCATGAACGTCTTTCGGGGTTAAACTGTTGTCGATTCGGGGCTGGCTGCAAGCTTCGTGCGGTCTCTTGGGGGGTCTCTCGAAAGCCTCTGAGGGGGCATCCCAGGGGCCCCACAAGGGGTGGGCGTGGGGCTCTCTTGGAACCTTTCTGTGGCCCCAGGAGCCCTTCGACGGCGAAAGCACACGAATGCAAGCATTACTGTTTTCCCGCATGACTTTGACATGCTGTTGGCCGCTTGGGGACCCTCTTGGAGCCATCTTGGGTTTACCTCGAGGCTACCCTGGCGTGTGTTTGTATGTGTTGCGTCGTCTCGTATACGATTACCTCGTCTTGTCAGGCCCTGCTGAAACGTCTTGGGCCGCCCTGGGGGCCTTTTTCGGGCGGGTGGCAATGCGGGGGTTACCTACATAGGGGTCTAGCAAAAGACCTTACAGGGGTCCTGTAGGGCCCTGTTTGGACCCCTATTGGCTCCAAAAGGGGCGGTAAAGAGCCCCCTTAGGACCTGTTTCTTCACCCCCATTTCGGCCACACTCAAGGATCTTCTGACCCGGGTCAATCCAGACCCGGGTCAGTCAAACCTTGCAGAATCCTGCAAGATCCTGCAAAATCCTGCACCCAAACCCGGGTCATTGCGAAGGATCCTGCAAGATCCTGCAGGATCCTGCACCCAAACGCGGGTCAATGCGACCCTGGCCCTGCAGGATCCTGCAAGATCGGGCGCTCTGGCTGAGCCCCGTTTGCATTGACCCCGGTCTCGAGGCTTCCGACACCCTCCATTACCACCCGTCCGGCTTTTGCGCGCCTCGGAGGCGAGGGGCATGCCGGTCTTGTGGCAGCCGGTCGACTGGAGGGGCTCGCCCACCTTGCTTGTGGAGGTCCTCCACGTGGGTCTGGACGGCCCCCCTGCGCGGTGTAAGAGGGTTCGAGTTGGCCCTACATGGCTCCATAATGGCCTCAGAAAGCTCAGGACTGCCCCCTAGATGGCACACAATAGACAAATATTGTTCAATACGGCCTCCAACATGCCTCCAAGAGTCTCCAAGACCGCCCCAAGACGGCTCCTAGTGCAACGGAGCCTCCCGAGGATGTTCCCTAGATGACCAAATCATTGAGAGACTGACTGCTTTCAAGTGCTGTTCGCCATTCTCGCTTTCTTATTTCCGATGGGCTTCCGAGGCCTCAAGATGGATCTAATATCGTTCAAGAGACGGACGAGCGCCATAATATGTTGAAGCTGATCGATAGGAACATACCCCGACTGAAAGATGGCCCGATAACACCCAGAAACTGATGAGGCTGGTCGAACAGCATCGTCTTGGAATAAGCCCACCTGCTTGATAAAGCAGCCTGGCTGGCGCCTGAGGCACGGGTCGCGCTAGCCGTCTTGCCCTCACTGCGCTTGTCACGACGCCACGACTACGAGCAGTTGAAGAACACTGACAACGTGCACCAGATTAGCCAGGATCCACACGAGGCCCAACCTGCAATAGGCGAGCCAACACGCTAAATCTTAACCTCTGCAGACAAACCAACGTTGTCCTACAAAAGTGGCCGTCGGGACCCAAATTCTTGTGCCCAAGCACAGAGAATCGCCAGGTCAGCTGTTTCTCCTCCAGCGCACTGGACCAGCTTGTTGTACAGTGTCGGCTCTAGGAAAACAAAAACAACCACACGCAGTATGAGACCGAGTATCGTGACACAGCTTGGCCTCGCGAAACCTGACGAAGAGAAGGAGAAGAGGGAGGACGAGGAGGAGGAGGAGGACGAGGAGGTGGACGAGGAGGAGGGAGAGTGGGCAGCGTGATTGCCAAAAACGTCTGTCACGCGCATCGTCTGCTTAAACCCTGGCCCAAGCCAAGAGTAAGGGATACCAACCACTAGAGGAGGAAGACCTGACCCTTACCCTCACAGCGTTCATGACGCAACAGCTCAAGCAATGGGGTAGCACATGCTCCTGACCACAATCATCGAAACTCAAGTCGTAGGCGGCCAATGACCCAGAGGAGTTGCAGCCGAGATGCTTCATCAAGCCATACGATCTTGAGGTCAGAGCTCCTGCCTGACTGCTAGACCAAGACTCGCAAGCTGTCGGAATTAGGTGCCTCGGCACCACTCTCCTTGAGCAGACGCACGTACGAGGGGCTCCCGAGGCCGACGAGAGGGTCCCAGCCGCTGGCGCCCGTGAACCCCTGCTTGCAACAGAAGCCGACGACAGCCGTGCAGTTGTTCCAGCCGTGGGAGATGTCGTTGAGAATCTGAGGGCGCGCGTACAGCAGCGGGTTGAGGAAACCGAGGCGCGACTTGCCCTGCCTGGCACGCGCCGCGTTCGCGGCGGAGACCATGCCCGCCACCGAGGGTGCGCTGCCGCTGGTCCCGCAGACGAGCGCGGGCGAAGAGTTGATGAAGGTCTGGAAGTTGATGGCGTTGGACGCGATGTCGGGGAACCCGCGGCCAGTGAGGTTGTAGCCCGGCGCCGCGCGCCTGCTCGCAGCGGTGGCGAAGTACGCCCTCACCGCCGCCGCCTGGTAGGGGGGCACCCCGAAGTAGTCGGAGAAGCCGCCCTGGGTGGTAACCTTGAAGTACGGGCCCTGCTGCTCGACCGCGTTGGCCGCGTACTCCTGGAGTGTGTGCACCTCGTGGTCGTCTGGGTCGTTCTCGGCGTTCTGCGTGCCGCCAACGCTGGTGACCCACGGGCAGGAGGAGGGGAACGTGGCCGTGTACCGGCACTTGCTCGTGTCGTTCCGCGCCCTGTAGCCCGCGACGCCGTCGTCACCCGAGGCGGAGAGGATGCTGACGCCCTGCGCGCCAAGCTTCATCGCCTCGGTGGCGAAGTGGTCCATCACCGCGTGGTCCATCTCGTGCTCGTAGCTGCCGTACGAAATAGACACGCTGCCCGGCGGGGTCGCCATCGAGGATATGTGCGTGATGAACTCGAGGAATGGCGTGTCGAGATTGGTGTTCAGGTAAAAAGTGTTATTCGCTCCCTGGCCGATGCCCGAGATGAACTGCGCATCCATGTTGCCTTCCACGCACAGGTGCCCGTTACTTCGCATGTCTGGGTCGTACCCCTTGCACGCCGTGGTGCTGCAGCCGCCGTTGGGGCACTGGAAATCCTGCTTGTCCAGGCTGACGCCGTTGCTGCCGCCCCAGAGAGCGATGTCGTCTGGGGCCATGTACGCGCCCTTCTGGCCAAAAACCATTTGGCTCTGCCCGCTGGCGTCGTTGGACGTCTGGTTGTAGCGGTAGTTCCAGCAGGCGAGCTTCATCGTCGATTTGCATGGGTATGGGTACGGGAGGTCCTCCCATGGCTCCCGCCTCCTGCTCTCTGTGCCGGTGAGGTGCAGGACCTGCGGCCCTGGTCCAGTGCGCAAGGGGAGCTCCACGACGTTGAAAATGTGAGAGACGTGCGCCTCCAGGCCCGCCGGCATCGTAAACTCGCGGGAGCGCTGCACCTGGTGGCCCGTCTCGACGTGCCGCATCGTGATAAACTTGCTGCGCAAGAGGCGGTTCCAGATCGAGAAAGGAGCAGTCACTGTAAGGTACTCATCGTGCGACGACGCGGCTGCCAACATCAAGCCGTGTGTCTCGCACCATGCCCGCACCGCCTCTGCAGCCGCCGGATTGGCAGTCATCTGATGCACCTGGTCGTGACCCAAGTGCTGGCCGTACGACGGGTGAGAGGGATCGGAAACCGCAAGGGTGATCTTCTCCAGGGCGGCAAGATTGCGCTGCTTCACAGCGATTACCACATCGTGATGGGCATCCGGCAGTCCTACATGCTCAACAAAATCGTCTCGGTGCTCCCAGTTGCCCCGCACGTCTGCGAGGGACGAGGAGGTTGTAACAAACAGCGTTAGCAGTGAAACGCGCACATGGATCATCGGGCAAGATCCATCCACATCCAATACTTAGACAGAAATTGCTTGAGCCAAAATTGCTACGGAAGATCGCCTAAGAGAGCCCGAAGAGGGCCCAGAAGGGTTCCAAAATGAGATCTTTCGGGCTCCGACGGGGGGGGGACCCGAATTTAGACATCACTCTTTTTGCTCGATGGCCTGCGGCATGGCTTTCGGAACCCCAAAGCCGACGGAGATCGGCCGACATTCAGCGCCCATGTGAGATCATACCCCATGAGTGACAGCTACCACCCGGCGTATCCGACGTGCTGTTCCTCCTCCTGCTCCTCCTGCCTGCGCGCCTCCAGAACTGGGGGTCAGCTATGATGTGCCCCTCGAGGAGCGAGAACAACAGCTACGAGAATCGACACAACCCTGCCTCATGCTCGCAACCGTCGGACACAAGACATTGGTGATCATACCACGAGCATCCGCCGCTATGGTTCAGAACATGCAGAGGGCCGAATGGTCTCATATGGTCTCGGGGTGCATGGTCCAAGTTTGGATCCGCGATGCGAGCTCTTGGTGGCACCCCGTTCTGAAGAGTCTACCAACCCTCCTTGCGAGCGGCCATCCGGTTGCGAGGACAAGGTTTCAGCGACTGGAGAGCTTCGTTCCAATGATTCCAATGACGCATGATGCAGCCCCGCTTCATCAAAGATGAGTGACTAGATGAGCAATCTGGCAATGGTGATTTTTGCTGAGAGCAAACGCTCGTTCATCAGAAACATAGGGCCGCTCGTTTCTACTTCTCTGCAAATGCGCGCGACCCCCCTGGCCGTAGAACACGCTGCGTTGTGTCAGTGAAGGGCCCCTCCTCAACATCAGGGTTTCCAGCCGCACGTGAAGATACAATGAGCCAGCCCCCCCCAATGCCACCTAGCAAAACCACGCGACGGATCCGTGCTCCCGCGGCCACGCTTCCTCGTACAATAGCTATGGGTCTCGGGCTCCGAGACCATGAGCCCTTACAGAAGCGCATTGGGCACGCGCTCCCGAAGTCACGCTTTCTCGCACACAACAGCGATGGGTCGTAACTACCGGGGCCACGACTTCTACAACAAAAACTGTCGCCGCGCGCTTCAGAGGCGACGGCCCCTTGTTCAAAACAGCGGGTCGATCAATAGCACAAGCGGACTCACGCTGCCGAGGCCTCGACCCTTCGTAAAAAACGGCCCGCGCTCCGAAACACATACATATTCTCTGAAAGAAACGGCACGCGCTTCCGAGTGCACAACTCCTTGTAAAAACAAACTGGGGACCCCCGCGCTGACGAGGCCAAGACTCTTTGCAACAACCAGAAGAAACAGATCTGCGCTCCCGAAGCCAGCATCCCGCGTCAAACCTCAATCGACCCCCCAAACCCCAAAGCCCATGAATGATTCGAGGGTGCTGCGTCTCGGGGCACGCCACATCCTGCCCCTCCTCCTCCTTTTTCTCCTCTTCCTTCTCCTCCTCCTCCTTCTCCTCCTCCTCCTCTTCCTCCTCCTCATCCTCCTCTCCCTGCTCGCTGCCTCCCTCCTTTCTACCTCCTTCCTCATGCCTCCTCTCTCCTTCACCCTCCCTGCTTCCTCTCCCTCTTCCCCGCCACGTTCTTCTATCCGCCTTCCCGTGCGCTTCCCCTCCCCTCCCTCTCTCATTTCCTTCCTGCGTCCCACCTCCACTTCCCAATATCCCCCCTCATGTCCCTCATCCGCTTCGTCCCTTCCTTCTCCCTCCCACCCCGTGCACCAACCGCCCAAACTGGTGCCAGCACGATCCGACACGAATGCCCGAACACTATCCCGCCCGACCCAACCGCCCAATGCAGGGCTCGCCCGGCCCAGCCCGACCCGACCGCGAGCCCGATGACGCTAATCCGACCGTCCGCCGACCACCCCTGCCATTGCCCTGAAACATCGGCGGCGAAGGTTTCTTTTGCGCTGGTTGCTGGAAACACAGCTTCCTGTGGCCAACGCCCCCATCACTCTTATCCACGATTGCAGGGCCTGCGGCTTTGTGAAGGCATTCTCGCGCCACCGAATGTGCTGGGGGCAGCGGGGCCGGACAGGGAAAATGGAGCTCAACCAGTAAAACGCTCCGCTGTCTGATGAGAGGATGCCTCTGGTGCTCTGACGCGAAGTAAGCGAACACATCAACGTCCTCGGTTGGAATGCATACGGGTACACACTACTTTCGAGGACCTCGCTTGTAAGGCTGTGACATGCAAACGCGCCTGCGATGAATCATCTTGCGGGGACTGCAAAAGCGAGCTCAGAACAAACAATAAACAGGAGTCCTGCAGCAAGTCCTTCACAGCGACCCAGCCGCCTCGGCAAACATGCGATGATCCCTTCCCTAGATTCTGCACAATGTGTGCCTGCGTTCTGGCCTTCTCCTTCTCAACAGTGAGCGGGGCAACGTCGAAGTCGGGGCCACCCAGGGGGAGAGGGTGCCTGCAAGCAGGACTTCTGCTGGCGTGCGCAGAGAGGCCGCATTCCCTTCAGAACGGCCCGGCCAAGCCCCCTCGAGAGTGCACAGTCCAGCGTAGGGACAAGCACATCGTCCAAGGCTCCTCTGGAGAAGCTCGAAGGGAAAATGTAAGCCCCTGCTCTTGACCGGGGGTTCTCGGTCTGCCGACGCTTTTGTTATGCGGTAGTATTGTTCCCCACCATCCTGTGTTGTTGGGTCCTCGTTTTGAACAGGCAGCGCCCCGCGTTCCTCACTCCTTCCTCCTCTTCCCCACTCCTCCCATCCCTGTCTCTGCCCTCCGCACGTCCGCATTGTCATCATAGTCACCATCGTCATCATCATCATCATCATCATCATCATCATCATCATCATCATCATCATCATCACCATCATCATCATCATCATCATCATCATCATCATCATCATCATCATCATCATCATCATCATCATCATCATCATCATCACCATCGACATCCCGTTCCTGCTTCAGTCCTCCCATGTCCATTTCGGCACAAACCTCACACGTTTCGTAGCCCGATGGGGAGCTCCACCGAAGGCCCCAGTGGCAAGGTCAGCATAGCGCCACCGCACCCATCTCGGCACACCCCTCACACGGTTCGTGGCCCCATAGAGAACTCCACCGACGGACCCACTGGCAGGGTTCGCAAGGTGCCACCGCGCCCATTTCGGCACACCCCTCACACGCTTCCTGGCCCTACAGGGAGCTCCAACGAAAGCCCCGATGGCAGGGTCGGCATAGCGCCACCGTACCCATGTCGACAAATCCCTCACACGTGTCGTGGCCCAATGGGAGCTCCACCGAAGGCCCCAGTGGCAAGGTCCGCATGGCGCCACCGCACACATTCTGGTACAACCCTCACATGCTTCCTGGCCCGCAGGGTCCGCATGGCGCCACCGCACCCATTCCGGGACACCCATCAAACGTTTCGTGGTCCCATAAAGGGGCTCCAACGAAGGCCCCAACGGCAAGGTCGGCACAGCGCAACCGTACCCGTGTCGGCACACCCCTCCCATTTCGGCACACCTCTCACACGTGTCGTAGCCGCACGGCGTACCCGCACCTGATTCGTCACACCCCTCACACGCTTCGTGGCTCCATGGGGAGCTGCCCCTCTTTCGTCCCACCTGCCTTGCGGTGCTCACATCCGCATATGGTTGGATCCTTCGCCAGGATCAGTTTAGAATGGTCCGTCGGGAGTTCGATGCCGCTGTGCGGGGTATTCGACCCTTTGCTGTTCACACCAGCGAACTACATCATGGAAAATAGCGCCGAACAAATTGCGGCCGCTCGCGGTAGATCACGAGCTCATGAATCTAGCCTTGACCCGACTGCTGCAGCCTCAGTCTTCCTTGACGTTATTGCGCCCGCCTGCTGCAGACTGCTGCCTTTGTGGGCCTGCATGTCCGTGCGTGTTGTAATCGGCGATGTCCGTCTGCTCCATCAAGACGATGTCGTCGTCTTGGTGGGATGACCCGGACAGCCCAACTCGCATCCATCCGCAGGCTACGAAGAGACGTACGACAAGGCGCCGTTTCATGGATTGTGTACAGAAGGCCAGCCCACCTATGGCAACATCAAACGGTGGATCGTGTAAATACCTCCCTTGTGTCAGTACGACTTGAGCCCAACTGGTTCCGGATCTCAACCCGCCAATACTTCACAAGGGATACGTATCGTTGCCTTGTAGCCGCGCCAAGCTGTGAACCAACCCTGAGGCACAGCGATAGCACACGGAAGCCACCTCGACCAGAGCAGTCGCCTGCTATCGAACGCAAGCAACCAACATCGAACATGTACGAAACATCATACATCAATACAATGTATATATATATATATATATATATATATATAAACACCAGCGCGTCTGAAAAGGTATCTGACCACGCTTCTTCCGTCCTTCTCATCCTGGTCCTCCTGCCTCACCTTGTCTTCCTCCCGTTCCACCTCCTGCACTTCCTTTTTATACCCACTCCTGTCTCTCTCTCGTTCTCTCTTTCTCTCTCTCTCTCTCTTTCTCTCTCTTTCTTTCTCTCTCTCTCTCTCTCTCTCTCTCTCTCTCTCTTTCCCGCCACACACCCTGCCCTTCCTCACCCCTCTCCTCTTCATAATACGAGTTGTCCTCCTCATCCTCCTTGCTCTCCCCCGAATTCTCTTTTTCCCCAAATTATCCTCTTCCATCTGCTCTCATATTCTCCCCCCCCCCCCCCCCTTCCTCACCTCCTAATTAAACGCGTTACCTCTCCATTTCACGCTCCTCCCCCTCCATCTGCTCCCCCCTCCCAGCCCCCAGATCCTCCTCCACCTCCGAAATGGAGGGGCCCACCGAGCCGCGCCCAGAACCAAGCCGTGGGTTAGGCGGACACGGTGGGCCCAAACGGACCCCCGAGGATGAGGATGAGGCGGAGGAGGAGGAGAAGGACGAGGAGGAGAAGGATCGCAGCGCAGCGCCTCAGGAAGGCCCCCCGCCGCGCACGCGGGCGTGCGACGGACTACCCCCTGGCGCCGCCCACTCAGGGCACGGTGCCGTAAGAGCAGGAGGCAATGTAGAAGGAGAGCAGCTGGAAGAAGTCGCCCTCAAGGCCGTGGGCGCAGGCCAACTTGCCGCCGACGAAGAAGGCGTCGCCGCCGCAGAAGACGCCGCGCCACCAGCTGAACACGGAACGGCAGCGAATCACGACGTGGTCGATCATCGCGCCGCGTGGCTGCAAGGGGAGCCACCCTGAAGGAGCGGCGCTGCTGGGGTACGTCGGGCACGGGGCGCCAGGCCCTTCTCGACGCGCCTTATCGCATCTAGCTGGTTGCGGCGCGTGGACTCGTTGGGAGAGAGCCCATCGCACCTCAAGCCAAGCTTCCGCACTGTACGGGCATCTCCCGCAGCGCAGTGAGACCCGCAGCGCCTGCAACAATAAACACTGTTGCCTCTGAACACGTCGCGCCCAAGCGCGGCGAAGGCGTCCCCGACCTCCTCGGCCAGGCTGCGGGGGTCGAGGGCTGTGAGCTCCCTTCGAGCGTCAAGGCCGCGCCCAGGGCCATGCCAGCCCTCTGGTCGCTGCAGAGATACACGCCCTCGCCGAAGGTGCGGAAGTACTCGGCGCTGGGAGCTCTGAAGACACGCGAAGGGCGACATACGCGATGAGAGCCAGTTTGCAGCGACTCGAGGGAGGAGCCCGTGGCGGCCGTGACCCCGCATTGGGTACATCGGTACCGCCCGAGGCTGGCGCAGTAAGCAAGGACATGGCCCGTGCTGCGTGCCACCGCAATGGGCCTGGCCTGCTCGCAAGGTGGCCTCGGGACCTCGACGTCGCATCCCCATTGTTTGCGAACCGCCGCCTGCAGTGCCGCCCACGAAATGAACTGCAGGACCTTGCGGTGCTCTTTCAGCGCAGCTGTTGCCGCCTCGGCCACCGACCCTGCCAGCGCGTGAGAGGCCGCACCACAGCGCGCGAAGTAGTCTGCCCAGCCGCTGCCTAGCCAGTCACGCAGCTCCTGCGGCCCTGTGCCCACAAGCTCCTCCAAGGACCTGTGCGCTGGCGCCCATCGGAACTTGGGGGTGTCCCGCAGAGTGCGCCTGCGGCTGGCAACGCAGATGTCCCGCCACGCTCTAGCATGCTTGGCGCGACCCTGCTCGAGCTCGGGGCACCGACGCTCTCCTTCCTGGGCGAGCGCCAGCAGGTCGGTGACGAAGCACTGGTGGTCAGGGAAAGCGTCGCGCCCCTCCCTGATCGCGTACCCTCAGCACGGCCGACAGTATACACCAAGCACGGAAGGGCCCGAACCACGCCCTGACTGGAAGCCAAGAAGAAGGACCAAGCTGCACAACTGCTTGTCCGCACCTCCGCACCTCGGGAACACCTGAGTCGTGCCCAGACCCGTCGGAATAAGAAACGGGGCCCCAAACGCCATGGGCGTCGCCCCAAAGGCAGATATCGTGCCTCCGCGTATCTGCGTGCGGCAGAAAGGCGGGAGGCTTGGGCATGCCCAAAACGGGGTAGGACCGCTCGAAGTTCGGCGTGCCTGATCCAAGACCCGCTTGGAGATGTTGGTCGCGCACCTCGGCCAACACTTGGGGGGGTGAAAGATACCGCGGCCATTCAGCGCTGGTGTCGCTGTCTCGGGCCCGCCATGTCCGCATGGCGCATCAGGCACCGAGGCTGCTGGGCGCAGGTGTAGGACGGCAAGGTCGGGTCGGCCCGACTCTCGAGGTGGTCGTGAACCTGCCGGCGTAAGTCGCCGAAACCCTGCTGTATTTCAGGGGCCCTTTCTGGGGGCAAAAGGGTCCCTGAAATACCACGCGTGTTCTGCGCTTGTCGCAGGCCTTGGACATGGTCCGTCGGCTCCTGCTCCATGGGTCGTATCTGCCCTGCGGGGGGGCGGGTCAGCAGCGCGGGGCATTCCAAGAAGACGTGGCCCTGGCATTCATCGGGCGCAAGGGCCTTCCCGCAAGCCTGACAAGGGCGCATGGGCATGCCGAGCTTCATGTCCCTGCGGATCGGCATGGGTACGTTGTCAGACCATACCGTCTGTAAAACTCCAGGCTGCCTTGCGGCGCGGACACCCTTGACCGCGTGCCTGGGCCCACAGTGCCAGATGGGCGCACCAGCATGGGAGCACATGTGGCTGGCGAGGCGGTCGCGCTGCCAGCGCTGCACGCCTTGCACCGAGAACGGTCGTAGGTCAGCAGGGCACGCGCGGTGCAGGTCATTATGGTTGCCCAGGTCGCCCCGCAGAACGCGCGGCGCTTTCATTTCCCAGGCGAGCCGCCTGAGCGTTAACCACGCGGCCAGGGGACCTTTGGCATTGGCCCACCTGATAAGGACAACCCGCTCATGGGGGCGCTGTCCAAGCCCATTGAAGGCGGCTAGGTGACGCGCGCCCATCCCAAATCCAGGCGGCGCAGTTCAGGACCATGCCCAGCGTGGCATGGTAGATGGGGTCGTACTCCTCCGAAGGGCGAGCAAAGAGGTATGCCGTGACGCCGGCGTGGCGTTTGTCACTGCGCCCGTTTAGCACCACGGCCAAGTTGCGCATCTCGCGTAGGGGCGCGTCCGCGAACCCCGACACCCCAGCGCCGTGCCCTGCGGGCGGCATGAGCCCAGTCCGCCACAGGGTGGAGGCCTTGCGCCCTACCGCGCGACGCAGCATGAGGAGTCGGTGCTTGCGCTCCCGCACGGCCTTCAGGCGCTTCTTTTCAACCTTCCTCAGCACTCGAGGGCCATGCAGCTTATGGCCAAGGTGGCGCATATGTCGGGCTTGGGGCACCGCCCGAGGCATCCGCCGCTGGACCCTGTGCACCGCAAGGCGGACCTGCGCTGACCCAGCCACCGCCGCGAACTTAGCAGGTTGAAAAAATAAGCCCGAGGTCCCTGGCCTCTACAGTGAGCACCATCGAAGTGCGCAGCAGCAGCTTGACATCGCCGAGGTCGGGGGAGACCATCTGCAGGCCGATGTCGCCCACCAGCGAACGTGGCTTGATGGCCGGCGCAACCCTGCTGGCCCGCTGGAGGACACGGTACGTCAGCAGGTAGATGAGGTAGGTGGCATGTGTGCACCCCGCCAGCACCCCCTGAAAGGCGACGAAGGAGCACGAGAGGCTGCCGCACGCCTTGATGCGCCGTGGTTGCTGGTAGAGCTGCAGCAACATCCAGAGCAGGCGCGCCGGGTAATCCAGCTCCCGTGCCTCCCGCATGAGTGCATGGGGACTCACCGTGTCAAAGCATTTCACCATGTTAAGGAGGAAGGTACAAGTGTGGTCGCCGATGAGGCTTCCCACCTCTTGCTCCAAATTGTGAGCGAAAGCCGAGGCCGTGGATGTGTGGCTGCCTCGAGTACCCCACATCTCGTCGCACAAATGCTCTCGTTGCCACTCTGCCGGTCGCCATCGGCGTGCTTTCGCCCAAACTCGTTTGAGAGCATGGCTAAGCACAATCAGCCTGTGGCCACCACTTGGCTTAGGGAGACGGACCATCTCGCTATACAGGCGGTCTGACGGAAACCGTAAGTGCTGTTCAAAAACCTCGAACATCTGGGCCGACCTCCTGAGAGCCTCATCTGATAAGTGCTCGAGCGCCTTCGGTGGAACGCGGGTGGGCCCCGAGGCGGTGGCGAGAGAGCGCGGTCGGATGGCCTGCCGTAGGTCATGGGCAGTCAGGCTAGGCAGCTCCTCCCAAGTAAGTGCATCCGTGGGTGGAGGCAGCTCGGCCAGCCCATGGGTCGCCCAGATCCGCTCCCGCTCGTCCATGGTGCGGTCCGCGAGGATGTACGGCTGGGCGTCGGCCTAAGGGGCAACGAATTCTTGCTGCGCCCTGACCTTCGGCCCCCCATTGACGGCCACCTGAGCCCGGCTGCGCCGGGGTCTCTCCGACGCGCCGCGAGCCGCAGCAGTGAGGTCCTCCGCGCGGCCCACGATGGCATCTACCACGTCATTAAAGTCCTCCGCAATCAGCCCGTCCAGCCCGCGCAGGAAGAACTGGCGGTAGCAGGGGTCGATGTTGGCGAGGATTTTGTCCTGCTCGACAATGGAGCTCAGGAAGCAGAGAATGTCGTAGAAGACGCGGGCCGTCTTCTGCAGCTGCCTGGGAGCTGGAGACGCATGCGCCGCCACCGCATTCAACCGGTGAAACGCTGGACCCGGTCACGCTCATCACGAAGGTGAGTCGCCCAGCGTGCCGCAGTAGCCCAAGCCCAGACTGTGGTGTCGTGGCACAGCCGCCTGCGAAGTGGCCCCCACCGCAACTGCCGCCACTTCACCTTGGGGGGGCCATGATGCCCGACGATGCGGTTGGCTCCAGGGCCAGCTTTGTCGTGCCTGCCTGCGATCTCGTAGTCAACGCCCTGCAGAACGGAGTCCCAGAGCTGCTGCAAGACATCAACGGGTGTACCTGCCTCGCCGGCGGCCTGTCCATGGGCCCAGGTCCGACGGCGGCAACGTCGGCCCGCGCGCCCCGATCGATCGCGCTTAGTTTTGCTCAATGGACCAAAGTGATCGACGGACCTGCATCGGCCCCGATCGGGCCTGAACTGGACATGGTCCGCACCAGCAACCCTTTGCGGCGCGGTGGCTGCTCGCAAAGATAGGCCATCCCGAATATACCAAGGAAAAAGGAAACGGGCACAGCCAACAGGGGGCACAGCAGGCAGCGGTCGAGGCTCATCGGGGACGCGGCACCGCGTCGGCGTGTCCTCCCCGTGCAGCTCCAGACCCAGAGGGTAGCGAGGTCTGGGGACGCTCCCACATCCATGTATCACCTCGGGCTGGCGAGAGACATGGGACGCGAGATTGCTGGCCGCCGAGAAGTAGTCGATGGTGGACACTCCATTGGAGGTGACGCACGTAGGGGCCGACGGCTGGAGGAGAGTGCCTGCCAAAGACCCAACCCAAGTCGCCAATGTTGATGCTCCGGCCGCGTCGGCGTTCCAGTCGCCCCCGATGATCCAGTCGAGGCCGCGTGCGTTCCACGCCGCCACGCGCTTCGCAAGCGCCCATGGGATCGAGAGGTTGGCCCCAGCGACGCGGATGCCAGGAACCATGCGGACGCCGATGACAATCAGACCACCAGGGACACCCCAGTGAACATGGGCTGCCACGGCATGACGGGGAAAGACGGCATGATCCCCATTGGGGGGCATCGTGACCATCGCGTTGGCAGGCGCGAGCACGCAGACCCCACTGGAGCACGACGCCGCGGACGCCCCCCCCGTCTCCTCGGCAGGGGCCCAGAGGCCGTGCCAACCTGCATCGCGCGCGACAGATTGAACAGCCCCAAGCCGCTGGTCGACCACCCGCGTCTCCTGGACCACCGCAACCTTGCCGAGGAAGCGCGGCTGGAAGTTGAGAAGTGGCCCGTGAGAGCCAGGGTTGACCGTGCTCAGCTTGGCCGCCACCTGACGGCGCGCGTCGCCAGCATCAAGCGCGGCCGTGCTTGGGCCCTGCGCAACAAGGATCGTGACCCTCTGGCATGCTTGCGTCGCTGCCGCCTGCTCGGTACCGAGGCGGTCCTCTCCGCCAGTTGCGAAGTAAGCCCGCGGACTGGTCAGCCAACGAATTGGTCCTCCCGCCGCTGTCGGGGGCCCCTGCAGAACACACCTCGAACTGGGTCATGAATAGGCACCATAACAGTGCGAAGGTCTATCTTCGCGGGCGCGCCGCACAGGGTGAAGACGCATAGACTGGAGTACAGGTCGACAGCGACGGGCTGGAGCGCGAGGGTCAAGCGGGGGCGGGCCCATGCAGCCAGGACCCAACCTAGCAGCAACGCGTGCATAATGCGCGCTGCTCTGTGGGCGCCCCTCGTTACCTCTGACATTCCGTGCATGGTACTTCCTGCCGGGAAGGCCCCAGCTGACAGCCTGCACATGGTGCGCGCTTGCAGTGCGCGGGAGGCCACAGCTGACATTCCGCCCGTGGGACTTCCCGTCAGTTTGATGGCCGCACAGCCCGTCGCAACAGGCTGGCGCATTGCACTCGCATCGAGTGGTCTGTGCATGGCACGCGCCATCCGCGCGGTCGCGCTGGCAGGCGCTGCCCCCAGAAAGGGGCTGATCGAGCCTTCTTCTTCCTCTTGTGCGCCGCAGCCGCATGCGAGTCGAGGACACGCTTGTGCGCCACCCGCATGTCCGCGTCGGTGGCCTCGTCAGGCTGCGTGAGTCCTGCCGCCTCCAACGCCCCCCGCAGCTCGGCGGACTCCATGAGGTCGATGTCGATCTCCACGTCGTTCCTGGCGGCTTCCCCAGCGAGGGCCTGCACCTGGCCCGCGGGGAGAACGGCGGTGGAAGCAACTCTTCCTCCTTCTTCTCCAGCAGGGGTCGCGGGAGCAGGGGCAGCAGCAAGGAGCTGTGCCGCCGGCGGCTTCGCCTGGGGAAGCTCATGGAGCCCCCCGAAGACTTTGGCCGCCGTCTCCAGCTCCGTCTGAAGGTTGGTGCCCAAGCCGAGCTCCACGGCCAACTCGCCAAGCTGCTGGGCGTTGACAGTGAACTTCGGCATCAGCTCATGGAGCGTGGGCTTGCCAGCAGCGGGCGGCGGGGCTCGGTCGGCGCCCAAGCGCTGGACCTCCACCTCCAGCCGCGCGACTTCGGCATCTGCCTCGGCCAGGGAGTCCGGGAGCACCGTCTGCTTGGCAACCAGCTCGTCGATGACCAGCTGCTTCTGAGCGTGCTCCTCGCGAAGGCGCTTGGCCTTGGCACGGGAGTTCCGCGGCCTCGTGGCGAAGGAGGTGACCTGATCCTCCAAGGGGCGCTCGGCGTCGAGCGCCTTGCCCAAGCGCTCCTTCTCTTCGGTGAGGGACTAAACCTGCACCAGGTCAGAAGCCACGGAGGATCCATCATAGACCTTCAGGATCGCAGTGATCTTCTTGATGCGGTCACGCTTGGCCTGCTTCTCCGACGGGTCAGCGGTGCCTCCGTTGTCACCAGTGGGAGCCCATACGGGGGTACCCATTGTCCAACCCGACCCCCGCCCCAGCAGCAGACGCCCTCCCCCCAGCAGCAGCAGCAACAGCCCAAGGAGGAGGCGACTGGGCGACCGTGAGTTTCTTGATCATGGCCTGGAGGTCGGCAAGCTGCTTAGCCATGGAGGCGGTGTCGGACTTATCCTTAGATGCCTTGGGTGAGCCCGTGGACATGGTCGCAGGGCTCCCTCTGGGCGTTTTGGGACCACCGTAGCAGACTTCTTTATGTAGGTTGCATTTGGGACACTGCTCGAGGTCGACACGGTTGATCCACGGCGTGCCGTCCCTCGTGACGCACTTCTTGCAGCGCCAGGGTCAGCAGCGAGGCAGCGCGACATGGCGGCGCCGTGTCGGATGTAAGGCCAGCCAGGCCGCAGTAGCCGTTTGTAGTCCAGGAATCCTGGGGACACCACCCAGGAAACCCAGAAGCCAAACTTGGCTCGCAGGCGAGAAATGGCCCTTCCCAGTATTTCTACCCCTGCAGACCCGACTCGGGCCAGGAACGGCTCGAGGAGGAGGAGGAGGAGGAGGAGGAGGAGGAAGAGGAGGAGGAGGAGGAGGAAGAGGAGGGAAGAGGTGTAGCAGCAGGCGGAAGAGAAGCCAAGGAATGGGTCTTGGTTTCCCGGTGGGTGTCCGTCACCGCCAACCCCCCGGCCGGGTACCACCCCTCGGAGCGGCAGGGGCGCGGGATGGGGGAGGCGAGGGGAGAGAGGAAGAGAAAGGAAAGCAAGCTGGAGGCTGGTTGGGAAGAGGGAGGGGGTAAGGATGCGTCGAAGAAGGGCAATCCATATCAAAATAGACGTTCGGTGCTCCGCGAGGATTTCTTGGATCTGCGCGGGGCCCCTTAGGCGGCGCCTTCGGCGCCGCACCTGGCGCGCTCCGCGCGACAGAGAGGGCGGTCCAGCGCAGATCGAGGAAATCCGCGCGGACCGTTAAACATGTATGTTGATGCAATTATTTGGTTGTCAAATGTGGGAATGGTGGAGAGGGAGAGGGAGGCTGGAAGGGCCGCAGTGTCGGGACTGCAGGGGCTGTCCGTCGAACCAAATGGTGAAGAGGGGTGGGTGACCATTGAGACGCTCCAGTACGGCCCATGGGGCGCCAAAAGTCTCACAAAGACTGCCCAACGAGGGTCTCAATACGGACAAAGAAAGCCCTAAGACGGCCCAGGAGAGCGAGGTTCCCAAGAGAGCCCCAAGAGGTTCCAAACAGAACCCGAGGACGGCGTAAGAGTGAGGGACCCAAGCGCGTCGTCATCCAAAGTAGCCCCTGCTTCGGGTCTGAACGTGGCGGGCAGCGCGAACGAAACCTGGAAGGCACCGAACCCGAGAACGGCCAGGTCGTGCGTCGCGCGGCCACAGCGAGATCGATGGTGCTCGGGGGCGGGGAACTTGCGGGCGAGTCCAGCCAACGGGTTGTGCCCGAACCCACGCATGGCAAGCGCAACCCGCACACGGCTTTGAGCGGGACGTTCGGAGTGGGACTACGCTTCCAAAGTGCAGCGCGGTCGGGCGCCTTCTCCGTGCGTAAGTCCCAAGGTCCTGGCCCCGTACTCGCGGCGAAGCATCCAGGACAGCTTCTTCGACAAGTCCACGCGCTCGTGGTCGTCCTCCGCTACCCACCCGCCCGTGAGGCAGGTGCAGCTCCCCTTAGCCAGCCTTACGTGGCCGTGCTGGGAAGCTCGCCTGAAGAGTCCATGGCCGAATAAGGACGGTGAGAATGAGGAGGACGAGACAGACAAATGTGTTGATGATGAGGGAGGGAGTGCAGAGGAGCAGCGTGACTAATGCAGAGGACAATCAAGGAGGAATAGGGAGGAGTAAATCCAGCACACATCACCGACGCTGCAATTCGAGCCTCCCCTCCAGCGCCCCCTTCTCCTCACAAGTGCATCAAGTGTCCCTTCCTCCTGTCGCCATGTTTGCGAGTCTGCGACTCCGCTCCCCCCCCCCTACCCCTTCGCACCATCATCCGCTCCCCCCTTCCCGCTCCCCCCTTCCCGCTCCCCGGCCGCACGCTCATCACGAAGGGGCTCTGGCGTCGCCGGACCCTCCCAGCGGACTAGGAGGGACAAGTCACAATATCTCTTTTATGATGCAGTGGTCTGCCGATGGATCGGCACTATGAGAGGCAACGCGTCAAATGCTAAGGACTGGATCGCCGACGGCATGTCCTCGTGCCACTACAAACCGATGGTCCAGGAGACGTGTGTCAGGGCTAACGCGTGTGCGTGTGTGTGATCTGGTGTGATGTGTATGTGCTGGGTGGGTTGTTCACGTGTATACGACTGTTGGGTATGTCGAGCGCGGTACGCTGAGAGCCACTGGCAGCTCACTAGGTGATCAACGGAACTTGACGGCGCAAAACCGGACTAGGATGCCACACGCTCCAAGAATCAACTGGGGCAGTCAGTCCCCGAGAGATCGAAAACGGAGGAAACTCGAAGGGTCTCTTTCCCTCATGACCCGTCTTCCTCATGGCCCAAGTTCGAGGGCCAAAATCGACCTCTGGACCTGTCCTGGGCTGTTCTGAACAGGCAGCCGAGGCGGATCCAGCCAAAATCTGTTTTTCGATCCTCAAACATTCGATTCTCCAGCTATCCCGCCCCCTGGGGAGGCTGGCCTCGCAAGAGCGGCATGAACGCGAAACCCAGCGTAACTAAAGTGCATCCAAGAAATTGCGCACTCAACGAGCGGATCCCGCGGGGATGGCCGGCAGGCCCCCGCCTCCCGCTCTGGAGCCCATCCTTCCCCTTTTCCATCTCCTTTTCCTCCTCGTTCTCCTCCTCGGTGGGCCACGCTTTGCTTCTGCCATCATCCCGCCACGTTCCGCCGAGGAAGAGATGCCAATTCCTTCGACCCTCGAAAGCGAGGCCTTGTCTGGAACGGCCAAGTGTGGTTCCACGCGCATGGCCTTCCAACGCGCACACATTCACACACACACACACGCAAACACAAACGCACAACAACAAACAAACAAACACAACACAAGCAGACAAACACAAACACACAAACACCTGCACCCACAAGCACAAACACAGAACCACACACAAAAACACACAAACACAAACACATAGAACAACCCGAACACGCAACCACAAACACACAATCATAACGACACTCAAACACACAACCACAACACACACAAATACACAAACTCACATATACAAGCACAAGCGCACACGCCAACACATCAACAGAAACGTAAACACAGAAAAACGCACACACACACACACACACGCTCAAACACAGAAGCACGCACACGCAAACACGCACGCACGAGCACGCCCATACAAACACGCACACACAAACACACACGCACACACAAATACGATGCTTGTTGGCGTCGCCGCCACGAACGCAGCGGCAGGGCGTCACAACTCGACCACAAACGTACTCGCATCCAAACACACAAGCACGCACACATAAGCACATACAGACACACATGCAAACACACAAACACACAATCGCAAACACACAACATAAAACATAAGCACACAAACGCACTCACACACGAGGACGCGCTCACACGCGCGCACACAACCACGCTCGCACACAAACGCGCTCACACACGCACGCGGATGCACAAACACGCACGCGCAAACACGCTCACACACAAACGCGCACACACTGATGCACACACACATGAGCACAGACACACACAAACACAGACGCGCACACATACAGGGACACAACCACAAACACACACAAACACACGTAAACACAAACACGCTACAAACACAACCACGCAACCACAGACATTCACACGCACACGCACCCACACACACACACACGCACGCACAAGCGGACGCCCACAAACACAGCGCCACACACACACACGCAAACCACACGCATTCGCACACAAACACACGCTCGTAACCACGCGACACCGCGCGCACAGACACAACACCACATAACCATACACATAAACGCAAGCACCAACACACACACACTCCCACACGCACAAACACCTGCACCCACGCGGATACACATAGACACGCAACCAGACGCGCACACAAACGGACGCACAAACGAACGCACAGACGCTCGCACGCACGCGCACAACGCACACGCACAATCACACAAGCACGCACACACAGAGAATACGCGCAACCAAGCACGAACGTACGGACTCACACAAACACGCGCAAACACACAACCACAAGCACGCAACAACACACGCACAAAGGCAAACACAAACGCAAACACGCACAATCACACAAACATGCACATACGTGAGCATACAAACACGCACGCGCACAAATGCACATGCGCAGCCACGGACCCGCGCACACGCACAAACGCAACGGCATACGCGCGCACGCGCGAACGCGCGCTCGCAACCGCGAAGGCACCGACGCGCGCGCGCAAGCTGGCACGCGCGCGCAAACAGACAAAAGCACTCGCGCAGACACATGCACCAACGCAATCACACATTCGCACGCAAGCGCACGCAAACACATTCACGGTCAAGCACTAAAGCATACGCAAACAAGCGCAACGGCACAAACAACCGCGCGCGCAACACAACACACTAGCACACACACACACACCCACAAGCAAGCAAACAAACAAACAAACACACACGCACTCAACATACCGACGCGACCACGCACAACCAAACGCACCAGACCAACACCCACAACCACACACAGACACACATAAACAGACACACAACCAAACAAGCAAACAGACGCACGCGCACAAGCATACGACCAAACGCAAACGCACAAACAGACGACCGCACACATACACACGCAGCACGGGCAGCACGCGCACAGACGCACGCACGCCGACGCGCGCGCAGACGCATAGACATAGACACACAGACACACGCAGACATTCAGACACACAGACACACCGACGAACGCACACCGACACACAGAGACACAGAGATACAGAAAGACGAGCACAATGACACACACACAGGCACAAAGACACACAGACACACCTACACGCAGACGCACAAGCACACAGTCAACTAGACACACAGACACACAGACACGCAAGCACAGTGTCAAGCAGACACACAGATACACAAACACGCAGAGACACAATCGCACAGACGCACAGACACACACACACACATAAACACCGCCCTATAGACACGCAGCTACACCCACACAACACAGACACACAATCACACGCGCACGCGCGCGTTCGAACGCGAGCGCGCGCGCGCACGCACATATGCACAACGCACACACACACACACGCAAACGCGCGCGCACACACACGCAAACACACCCACACACACACGCGCACGCACGCACGCACACACACACACATACACACACGCACGCGCACTCACGCACGCGCGCGCGCACGCGCACGCGCGCGCGCACGCACGCTCACGCGCGCACGCGGGCGCGCGAATTCGCGAGCACGCGCGTGCGCGCCCACGCCGGCGCGCGCGCGCGAGCCGCTCTGCGGCGTTTCGAGCACGAGGCGTTGCGCTTCGGCCAAACTTTTGCTCATATCTTTCGCGGCCCCAGAGGCCGCGTCTGCCCGCCCTCTCGGCTCGGCAGGCCGCGAGGCCAGCGAGGCGCGAGGGGCCTCGCGAGGGCGTCGCGCGGGCATGGCTGGAGGCAAAGGGGTCGGGGCCGCAGGTAAGGGCGCCCATCCCGACATGTCCGAATTCGCGCAGTGCTCGCGCCGCAGCTACGAGCGGCCCTCCCGCTCCGAATCGGCACGCCGCCAGCGCGATGAGCCGCTCAAGCCCGCCGCCGCGCCCCGCGCCCCGCTGCGGAGCACTCGGACCGCGCCTCCGCGGGCCCCGGGCGCGCCGCCCCGCGTCGCCGAGCCAGCGCCCCCATCCGACGCGGAGGCGTCGGCGGCTTTGGCGCTGCGTCATCCGAGCCTCTCTCGCCAGCTGGAAGCCCCCAAGAAAGCCGCGGTCCCGCCGCCGCCCCTGGAGGCCAAGGCACCTCCTGACGCGACGCTCAACGGGGCCCGAGCCAACCGGCGGCGGAGGGGGGTGGATTTCCAGCTGGCAGCCCAGGAAGTCGCGCAAGTCAAAGTGCGGTCGGGGCAGATGCGCGTGGCGGAGTTCCTGGCCGGCGAAGCGCCCCTCGAGGCCAAGCAGGCGGCGCAGGCGGCGCGCAAGGCAGCGGCGCCGCAGGGGATCATCGTCAGACCCGAGCCGGCATCGCAGCGGGGGACCATCAACCTTGGCGACCCTGAGATGGGCGACCCCGCCAGCGAGCGCGAGGAGTTTCAGAGGTCGCTTGACGTGACCGTGGAGCAGGTGCGCCAGCGCATCACCAACACCTCCGGCGATGCCAAGTCCGCGCTCGAGGCGCGCCAGGCCGGGCTCGAAGCCACGCGCCACGCCCTCCTCGCCAGCCGCAAGAGGCGGCGCGTCGAGGACCCCGCGTCGGCCGACAAGGCAGGGGGCGCCCCCGCTGCCCCGGCCACGTCCGACGACGGCCAGCCTGAGAGGCCTGCTGGCCCTGCTGCTTCTCCCCAGCCTGGCCCTCCCAGCACCCTGCGCGGACCTGAGGGCGGGGCCCAGCTTGCGGCGCTCAGGCAGGTAGCGGCCCTCAACCAACCAGCCGATGGAGACTAGCATTTTGGACCTCAGCATGATCGGGCGCCACCTGGTCGAGGG